CTTCCTTATGCTTAAGAGAGTCCGTTCAAACATGAAATACCGATTATTCCAGAACGTAATGTCAACATCTTAAGTAAATCCAGCTTTCAAGTTACCTTTACTTTTAGCACTATATTAGTCCATTTGCATTGCATGCAAATCTAAATAAAGTAATGTCTATGCTAATTCTAACATGTATGTTCTGACTAAAATGTTAGATTGACCCTTACTTCTTTCACTTCCTATATGGTGGACTACATTGGTCATCCCCATCAATAATTGATATTCCAAAGAAAAACATTAGCCTAAATTCAACAGACACGTTGACTACAATTAAGAGCACTCACCTTTCCATTCTGCCTTCCATCTGTGTAAGGAATTGTGCACAACAAATCTCCATATTCCAATCTTTTTAATATTTACCAAATTACCATTACGTTTCAGATCTGCTTCTATTTCTTCATCAACAAACATGTAGAAATAGACAGTTTGCTTGGAGTATTCACTAAAGTTACTCGGGTGTTATGTGTTATCAAAAGCAGTTGATATAAAATGGAATTCATTTAATTATTTAATAAGCATTTTCCCATCTTAAACATAACAATTGAAGAAATAGTTTACAAATTCAGTATCAAAAATAGTTGATCCAACAACCACTCCATTGCACTGCTCCATCTCAAGAAGATCATCATCTTCAATGTCAAATCCTGTCCCATGGCCAAGTTTTCTTCCCTTTACAAATCTGGACCCAAAAAAGAAAAAAGAGGAAAACACACATCAAGGAAAATATAAAATCTGCATGCTAGCATGAACATCCCTAAAGGATAACCAAATGGTTTGGCCATGAAACTTCCAAGTTAAAGGTCTTAAATTCAAATGCTTGGTATGGTGAGAAGAGGTTTTGAATTATTCACTTAGTTGTTCAAAAAGAGAAAAAAAGAAAAGAAAAAAAAAAACCATACCCACAGCGCATACTCACTGACTTTCTTATATCATATGAATCATCATGCTGCTTCAAGGTAAGGTATCCACCAAAATTTGAACCTCCTAATTCTGTCTCCTTATTTAATGATTCCTTATAAATATATCAAGAAAATTCCTTGAACTCATTTTTTTTTATGCCAATAGTATAAAAATATAGCTAATGGTGCAAATTAAGAAGAGGTTATCTATGCATTGAAGTATGAATCTATTTAGTGTGTTTCTCTAAAAGCATTAGAGAGAGAGAAAAAAAAAAAAAACCTCACAAACTACCGTGCCAACAAAATCACCTTGGTCATCATCCAACATTCCAATAGGCAACTCTAGAACAACACGCCCAGTTGGGACTCTAGCCTTAGACAAAAATGAAATCTAATCAGATATGGATGAGTATCAATAGAAAATAGGTCAACAATTCAACCCTCTGCTCATTTGTAACATGTTAGATCAAATGTCAAAGAATTCAAGCATGACATAATAGATAAGAGCAATAAAAAGTAACTCTATCTATTTAGTAAGAACAACATAAGCCTCACCCTTAGATTCCAAAAAAATTAGCATAGCTAAAACTGGTCCTTGAGTGAAAACAACACCTGGAACCTAAGCATGTGTTTCAATTGATTATAAGAGAGATGGTACGGGTTCATCAAATAAAAGAAACAAAATAAAGAGATAGTTAATAACAATAAAAATTATGCACTGGAAATAAAGTTTGCAAAATTAGAAATAGAAATTAAAATCAGCAGATGAATGTAAATTTTCAATGCATTGGAAATATAAAACAATAGATAGTGGAATGCATCAGATTAAAGATTGGAATGCAATAGACTATAAATAGGTTATATAAAAAAAATTCAATAATAAATATGAATATTTCACATTTAATAAATAAGTAACAAAAAAACCCATCACCTGATGGTTAAAAATAATTTTTTCATGCATCACATATTTATCATTTTAATAAAATCAAACATCTTAACCATTAGAATTTGTATTCTTTTTGTGATACCAAAAAAACAGAGACCGGTATAACATTATATGCATGCAAAATAGATCCTTCAAATGACCAATATTTATTGGATAGATTATGAAGAAAAATTGGAAAAATTGGAAAAATAAATCTGCAGAAGTAGAAATCAGCATATACACGTAAATTTTCAACACATTGAAAATATAAGACAATAAATAATAAAACATATTAGACTAAAGATTGGAATGCAATAGAATATAAATAGGTTATATAGAAAATATTTAATAATAAGTATAAATATTTTAAATTTAATGAAAAAATAACAAAAAAACCATCTCTAATGGTTAAAAGTCCTGACATCAGTGCTTCATTCATTTGCCTATATTGAAATTGTAGAAAAAACTTCACCATTCTGTGAATAATTTCTTACCTTTCAAGAGCAAGCCCCATGCAATAACGCTAACATCTTCTAGTAATCCCATAGGACGCAACATTTCAGATCTGAACACACTAGAATTCCCAATTTCAACCCATTTCCCCAGGCCTTCATGATAACTGAAAGTAGAAGATTAACTGTCAAATTTCTATCCACCTAATTGAAAGTAGAAGAGAAATTTGTTACTCTTTACCTGAATACCTCCATGCTAGGTTCCGTATATGGATTGTACGTAGGTTTGAAACACAGATTAGACATGCCTAAAAAAATATTAAACCCTCACACTAATTATTCCAGAGCAGTTCCAAGCTCCAACCATATTCAGCATAATACTAAGCATTACCTAGTTGTGAGAAGAAGTTATGCAGAACACCAATCAAGTCACCAAGAGTGAGCCCTCAATCGCAAATCAGACCTAAATCAAAACATATGAATATTTAGCAAGCTAGTAAGTCAATACAAGCACTCAAAAGTAATGTCAATCAGATGGTACAAATCTAGTTAATAGATGGTCAGATGCATCAACACATATCTAACTGATGTTTTCAATTACCATGAAAATTTATGCACTTGAATTGAACAGATTTCGGCCACCTAGGCACTTAACTAATGGCACAACTCGAAGAATATTATTAGTGCTAAAATCTTTTACATATGTCAGTGTCAAACGTAGCAGGTCTTATTCAACAAATTTTCAATTTACTAAATCTGCAACTCAATTTATTTTTTCCAAGACAGACCAATACTTACAACAAAAGTTAATACCTAATACAAACCCCAATCCAATAACCAAGTTTATCAAGTACCTTCTATTTAATGGATTCTATAGGATGAGTTTAGTCAACAACTTCATTTCTGAAAACACGGTCAATTGAGAAGTACTTTTTGGGAGCAAAAGGTTGCTGTAGATGAAATCAGAAAAAAGAAAAAAAGAATATTTAATATTTAATATTCCTAAAGTTGCTTATGCTGTAAATCACTTAATTTTTTTGAGGAAATAGAAGGGTGGGGAAGGGGGAGGGTTTGTTGAATATGCATTCTGTAATCCAAAAAATATATTTATGCATTCAACAAATATAGTGCAGGTAATAATAATGGCAGCACACCAGCAAAGTAACAATCAGGAAGCATGATAAAAATGAATAATAAAAGAGCTAACAAATATTGAAGGGAGTTAAATGAATTAAAAGACAAAATTATAAGTCTCAAGACCCTCAAACCTTTGCCAGTGCATAAAGCATTCTGGCGAAAACAACAGTTGTATGCGTTCGCAGCAAGTTCTTGTTTACCTCCTCTCTTTTCCATTTGTACCCATATCTATATAGAATAAAAAAACAAATAACAATAACTGAACTGCTTATTGGTAAAACATTGAAAAAGAGACGTAAAAAAAAAAAATTAGCATACCCCTAGAGCCATAACCACCATCCTCATGAACACATTTCACCAACTCCACATACTCCTTAGGCAACTTCCTCGTAGTAGAAGGAGCTAAAAATGCATGCCCCAAATCATCAGAACAATACCAAAAAGACCCTTTTTCCTAATTAAGCATTCAAGCCAAAAATACCTTCCAAAAAGCATGTATCATACTAAAACGGGCTTCAAAAGCACAAGAGACAACCATAACCCAAGCA